GGATTAACATGCCAAAGGTGTAGAATCATCCCACTGCCTACAGCACTTTTTACTATCTTGGGAAAAACAATCAGAGATACTTCCCGTTGCAAGAGATAATAGGCAGTCTGCAAGAACAACAAATGTAAACTACATGAATCAAGAAAAGACATAGAATAGGTAATTGTTGAGAACCAACAAATATGAATCCATTAGATTGTACATTAATATGTGCCATCCCAAGAAGCAACACTTCAGGACAGTGTTTAAGAGGGTAATCAAGGATTGATCGAACATTATTGGCATGAGCCTTCTCGGCTAGCTGGCAGAGGACGTCTAAAAGGTCAAGACACAACCATGCATGATTTGCATGGCCATTTTGAAGCTTGTGGCCATTAATTGCATCAACATATGCCTGCACAGCAATTTGTTGTCATAAGAATTTGGCGATAGGAACAAGAAACAATAATGGTCAACATAGATAAACTTCTCTAGAAATACTTTTAAGAGAGAAAAATATAAAATAAAAAAAAAGTTTTTCATGAGTTAAAATTAGCTTAAATATAAGTTAATTTGTAGAAATTTTCTTTTTTATCAATTTTTCAAAAATCTTATTTTTAACTCATGTATAATTTAGTTTTAGTTCATTAATAAGTTTATTTTAATTTTTTTCTTCCTATAAGTGCTTTTGGAATAATTTATCCAAACAGGTCTAAATGTACAAACAGATCATCATACCAGCAATCTTCCCGAGTGTGCAAAGGTAAATATTTCTGGTGGTGCTAATACAGCGTATTTAAGGAAAGACAGCTGACCCTCAGTATTCTACTATTCTTCCATACAGATCCACATATGGCATGGAGAGGAAATGGTTCCTGCTAGGTATATTTTCATACATTCAGAATTTTATGCCAGAGTTTGCATATAAAAGCCTATTTAGATACAAGATTAAAAATGGCTTTGATAACTTTTCTTCTAGAAAAAATTCTTTATTTTTCAGCAAAGAAGCTCTAAAAATTATTTCTAACTTGTATCAAAACTGATTTTAAATCAGCTAAGCTACCGGAAAAGCATATATAAGGTTCTGATATCATACCTCAGAGGCATGTTTATACACACACATGAGAAAAAGGAATGCTTCTTCACAAGGAAGGAAAAACCCTTCATGATCAAGATTTTCCATGACACATATCCAGTTGGTTTGAGGTGCCTGTATCAGAAAGCACATAAAAATGAAATGATTTACTTTCTTATTCAAAAGGCAATAACAAAATGAGAGGAACTTTAAGTCCTATTGAATAAAACTCACAAGATGGTTAACTGTATCTACCAAGACATCAATATTCCAATAGAGTTAAGAGGTGGCAACTGAGACACGTTGGATCCATTGGCTGCAGGAAATGTTAAGTATGTGTTCTGGTTTTCTTCCATCCCAGTACGACTATAAGCAATTGCACCAAGTAATTTAGATAGCATATTATCAGTTGGAGATGAGAATGGAGAAATATCTCCTTGCACTTTGAGACATCAACCGTGCATCCATAGCCTTGTTCCTTCACAATATCTCCAATGTTTATTTCCTTCTGCATGTCTTCCAAAATAGCATCAAAATCATTTTCTCCACACTTGTGGAACAACTCCATCTTCCTGTAAAAAGATGAATAACTAATTAAACATCATGACTGAATTAATTACTATTGATAACTAATAATATACAACAAATATATGATTGTATTGAAAAATGGTTGCCAGTTTTATGTTAACCACTTATTTCAGTGGTTAAATCAAATAAGTTTTCAATATCATTGGCCCAATGATGAGTAGTTAACTTAATAAAATGGTAATAAGGATTACTAAATACATTACCACCTTAAATCAGCCTCATGCATCTCTTCAGGAAGCAATGGAGTCAAGGCAAAAGTTGGCTTGTCTTTGAACTTCACAAGTGATAATATCTGCATAAAGGAAACCATGTGCTTGGAAAGACCCTTAGACTGCTTTAGGAACATGATAATTTTGTGAATTTTCTCATTGCAACTCCAAGAACCAGGATTGGCAAACAATTCCTCAATCCGAGCCATGCAAAAAGATTTGCCTATACACAAGCAACATTTCAGGTCAAATATACTATATATAAATGGCAAAATATTATTGACACAGTATAGATAATATAGAAATGACCATTAACATTATTAGTCAAGTTAAATGTAACTTCATACTTACCACTCAGCCTGGCATCAGGATTCTCAGAATCAGATAAAACAAGACTGATAATAATTTTTTCCAATAAAGATAGCTTCAATCCGTTGCTTAAACTTTCTAAAAGGCTTTCATTAGTTTCTTTATTCTTCATTGACTCAGAAAACTCTTTGCTGCAGGTTATTTGGTTCATGAGGTACTTAAGGACCGCCCCTGGAATTAGCTCATGCTCATCCATGTTTTTAGCAGCAGAACTCATCCCAATTCAGAGAACTGTCAGCAGAAAATAAAAAAGAATTAACAACCACCATGATGCAAATATACTAATTAATAAGGTCTGTTGGTAGCAAATTTTGCCTATTATTCCACATATTAGGGTAATTCAACGGGGAGCAAAACAAAAAGAGAGAGCACAGTAGAGGAGATAAACAAAGATGCATGTCCATAAGAATGCAGAAAAGCAACAGCATGCAAGTTCACAAAGGAAGGCATGAATAAATACTGGTGAAATGTGTCATATTTTGAATCACCTGAAAAATAATGATCATTATAAACAAGAAATGATATCAATATACTCATTTAAACACATTTTTTTTAATTGGTTAAAATTTATTGAAAAATACAAATTTTAGTAGGTCATACATCCAATATAATGCTTCTTTCTTTTATTTTTTTTTTATTTTCAATAAATTTTAATTAATAAAAATAAGTGTATTAAAAAGATGTATTAGAGAGTGTATAGTTAATATTTCTTTATTATTATTTTACTAAATCGCTGTAATGGAAAAAAAAAATTGATGATTGAGTTTATGTAACTCTTTTTCTAATTCAAATTCAACTAACTCAATCATGATTTGGATTAGATTAAATTTTGTCAATTGGATATAATTAGTTTAATTTATAATGAAAACATTTTTAGGAATTCTATTTGATAAACAGAGGTTTTAGAATTCTTTAACTTAATATTAAATTCAGTTAATTCTTTAGGAATTAAATTTTAATATTTTCAAAATAAATTATCAATAAATAATTATTGTGTTATATATAAATTATTTATTATAAATTTAAAATACAATCTATATATTTGAACATATTTATTTAAATTTTAAATATAATTTATATATTAAACATAATATTTATTTATATATATAAATCATTTTAATTTTTAATTATATATTATAAACATTTACCATGTGTATTTGAACATACTAATATACGAGTCATTAAATAATTCTTGTATACAATTTGAATCCGTATATAATTTGAATCCGTATATAATCAGAATCATATATATATAAATCATTTTAATTTTTAATTATATATTATAAACATTTAGCATGTGTATTTGAACATACTAATATACGAGTCATTAAATAATTCTTGTATATAATTTGAATCCGTATATACACAATTTAAGTCTGATTAAAGAGAAAATCTCAATCTGTAACAACAACAAACAGTAAAGTAAAGTCTCTAAAGTATTGTTCATTGTTACAACTTAAAAAAAAATGTTTGTTTTTTTTTCCTATAATTTGTATGTTGTGCGAGATAAAGAGGTAGGTTTAAAATATTAAGTATCTTTAATTCAAAATATATAATTATAATATTATATGTATAATTTTAATAATATATTATACATTAGGGTTGAATTGAATTAAGTTAAATTTAAAAATCAAAATTTATTATCCAACATCCGTTTGAACAAGTTGATTTAGATTTAATCCAAACATTAAAAGTAATCGAGACAAAATGATTGAGTCAGTGAGATTAGTTTGAATTCACGCCTAACATTGTATTCAAAAGAAAATCAAAGGATAAAAAGAGAATTTGAGAAAACAAGACCAACAAAAACCCTAAAAGCATTCACTAGGCACCAAATAAAGTAACCAATATTACAAAAATAATTGTGCTAGAGATTTCACATCATTTATATATATCACCAAAATACAATTTAGGAGAAATTCCCACCTTATGAGCTAGTTTTATAAAGTCAAATTTGGCTTCATAATACCACTTTCTTAAGATAGTATCAGAGTTTATCCTAACGATTATTAATTATTTTTGGGTCTATTGTTTCTCCGGCTATCAATTCTCTATTGGACTACTGGCAGATGTCATTTGAGATGTCCAGCCCTCAGCGTGATAGAGTATATTAATGATCCCACATAGACTAGAAATATGACCAAAATATAGTTGGAGAACAATCTTCACCTTAAAGCAAACTTGTTGTGTAAGATTGAGTTAGTCTCAATAATTTCACTTTCTTAAGAATAACTTTGCTTTTTTATAACAATTGAGTCACTAGTAACAACACATCATACAAAGTTCATGACAGTAATTTTTCTTTATTCATTGTCATTCATAATTCCTATATTTAAGAATAGAGCGGTACTCATATATTGCTATTTGATTCAGTTTTTTATAAGAGTTGTAATCTAAATCAATAAGCTAAATGTCTAGAACTTGTAATGCAGGTTTGAACCGAAGAACAAGCCCAATATGCTTTCTCCAATAGATATCTTTGTCACCACTGCGGATCCAATGAAGGAACCGCCTCTAGTTACCGCCAACACTGTTCTTTCAATCTTGGCCCTGGATTACCCTGCTGACAAAATCTCATGCTATGTTTCTGATGATGGGGCTTCCATGCTCACCTTTGAAGCTCTTCAAGAAACCGCTGACTTTTCCAGAAAGTGGGTACCTTTCTGCAAAAAATTCTCTGTAGAGCCTAGAGCACCAGAAAAGTACTTCTCTGAGAAGATAGATTTTCTAAAGGATAAGCTTCAATCAACTTATGTTAAAGAACGCCGTACTATGAAGGTTAGCTTTAATCCTCCTAAACTTGATGCCTTATTTTAAGTCTTAAAACAGAAAGTTTGGTCTCCATACATCACACAATTTTTTCAATTTGGTCCCTAGATGAAAAAATAATAATGAATTAGTCAAAGGTTGATGACTTGTCTAAGGTTTTTCCTACATGATATTTGTGTCATCACACGTGGAGCAGATGACAGCAACTAATTCCATAACATTTTTACAGTAACTAGTTTATGAAAAAAATCAAATGTAGGGACCAAGCTTAAATTTAAAATTTAAAATATTGATTATTCTAGTGCAATGTGAAAAGCATAGTTTGATTGCTTGTTGGCACATATATGACAGAGAGAATATGAAGAATTTAAGGTGAGGATAAATGCACTTGTGGCTAAATCCATGAGAGTTCCCCCAGAAGGGTGGACTATGAAAGATGAGACATCATGGCCAGGAAACAACCCCAAAGACCATCCAAGTATGATACAAGTTCTTCTTCCTCGCAATGGAGGTAATGAACTTCCCTGCCTTGTATACACGTCTCGTGAGAAAAGGCCTGCATTTCTACACCACAGCAAAGCGGGTGCAATCAACGCCTTGGTAATCATTTGAAGCACTTTAATTTCTCAGATTATATTTTCTCATTCTCATGACATGAAGCTAAAACAGGCTTTCTTTTTTGGCCTAAATGATGCTGAAATTCCAGCTTCGCGTATCGGCTGTGTTAAGCAATGCTCCTTTTGTGATCAACTTGGATTGCAATCACTATGTGAATAACAGCAAAGTTGTGCGACAGGCCATGTGTTTCTTCATGGACATACAACTTGGGAATGGCATTGGCTTTGTTCAGTTTCCAATAAGATTTGACAGCCTTGATAGGAATGATCGATATGCCAACAAAAACACTGTTTTATTTGATGTGGGTGCAACCCTTTTAGCACTGAATTCACTCTCTATTTTTGCTTTTCTAAATTGATTTGTTTTGGAATTCGACATGATAAACTGTGTTTGTTTTTCCACAGATTAACTTGAGGTGCCTAGATGGAATTCAGGGACCATCCTATGTTGGTTCAGGATGTATATTCAGAAGGAAAGCCTTAACTGGCTTCGATTCTCCAAAGACTTCAAAACGCCCAAGAACGGTGCAAGTACACTCAAAACAGGATGAGAATGGAGAAGAAACAAGCATAACAGGTGATCAGAATCCTTTATATTTATCAAAATAGCATAAAAATTAGCATTTTTTGTTTTCTCTTTCCATCTCGATTCTCAACTACTACTTGTCTTTTGTAACAGCAACAGATGAGGACAAGGAGCTATTGAAGTCACAGATGAATGATGAGAATAAATTTGGAAACTCCACACTTTTTATGAACTCTTCAGTAACAGAAGAAGGTGGTGTTGATCCTTCTTCCAGTCAAGAAGCCCTACTTAAAGAAGCCATTCATGTCATGAGTTCTAAATACGAAGACAGAACTCTTTGGGGATATGAGGTATTACATTAGGCTCTTTTTCATGTCCTCCCAGTATGATAACCACAATTTTAGATTTCGAAAGACAGGAACAGGTTATAATACAACTTATAGAATTAAGAATTAGTAAAAGATATAAATTCCATATCAAAATGTAGGAGAATTGATATCTTAAAACAAGTACAAGTCATAATTTTACAATTTATCTAATTATCATGACAAGTCCTGCTTGTATTGGTATAAAAGTTAAAGAAGTTTATAAAATATTTTCAAAAGTATTTGAAATATCTGTAGATTATCCAATATGAATAATTGGATACATGTTCCACTTGGAAGATATTTTTATTTAGAGTCTATTTAGATACAAACTTAAAAAAGTTTTTGATAGTCGTTTTACTGAACAAAAAAACTTTTTCTTTTTGATAAAGAAGCTCTTAGAAGTTTTTGTAAACTTATATCCAAATAAACTCTTTGAAGTATTCATGCTTCTTTGCTGAGGTTTTCTTTCCCCAATGAAATGGTAGATATAACTGTTGAAACATATTTTGGCTTTTGGCATGCGCAGGTGGGTTTGAGCTATGGATCTATAGCAGCAGAAACATTGACAAGTTTGAAGATGCATTGTCGTGGCTGGAGGTCTGTGTATTGCATGCCAGAGAGAGATCCATTCAGGGGCACAGCTCCTATCAATCTCACAGATAGACTCAACCAGGTGCTTAGATGGGCAGTGGGATCACTTCAGATTCTATTCAGCCGCCATTGCCCACTTTTCTATGGCTTCAATGGAGGAAGACTCAAGGGCCTCCAAAGAATTGCCTATATAAACAGCACTGTCTACCCGTTCAGCTCAATACCCCTCCTAATATATTGCATCATTCCTGCCATCTGCTTGCTCACTGATAAATTCATCACACCATCGGTACCAAATTTCCTTTTATTTATTTACTTTATAGAAGAAAGGCACATTATACATCATTGCATTATCAGAACCCTCTAACATGCCAGCTTGTGAGTTACATTTAATATGAGCAAGCCAAATTAAATGAACTCTAGTTGCATGGGTTAAATTAAGTATCAATAATGTAAAATGAATAAACAAAATGGCGTCACGCTGCATGCATCTCCTATAAAATATTTCTTTCAACAGATAACCAAAGGTCTCACCTGCAATCCTGTAAGAAAAATGCTAGTGATACTCTCTCTGATTCTCTCTTTATTCTTTGGTTGAAAATCATAAATTTTGGTGAATCTTACAACTAAATTAGGAGAGTCACTCATCAGATGTGAGACCTAAAAAGTTTATAATTTCCAATAAATTTCAGCTGATAATATAGAAAGTGTTGAAAAGTGTGCCGATAGCATTCCTAGTCCTATAAATAAGAGTAGAAACATGTATCAAGTTTGTTTGATGTTCTTTCTTGCTATAGAAGTTCCCTGAGATATTCTTAAATGCTTATCAAGTTCTTGCTTCATTGACTGATGAAAAGCCATTCATTTCCAGGTAGGCACATTTGCAAGTCTAGTCTTCATTGCATTGTTCATCTCAATCTTCGCCTCAGCGATTCTTGAGTTGAGGTGGAGTGGAGTTAGCCTCGAGGAGTGGTGGAGAAGCCAGCAATTCTGGGTCATTGGAAGTGTCTCTGCAAACCTCTTTGCCGTTATGCAAGGCATCATGGGAGCCCTACCACTAGGCAGAGTGAACACAAACTTCAGCATAGTCTCAAAGGCACCAGATGATGTAGAGTTTCGTGAACTCTATGCCATTAGATGGACAGCACTTCTAATACCTCCAACCACCATCATAATAATCAACCTCATTGGTGTTGTGGCTGGCTTCACTGATGCCATAAACAGTGGTGAACACTCTTGGGGTGCATTGCTTGGGAAACTCTTCTTCTCTTTGTGGGTCATTGTGCATTTGTACCCTTTCCTTAAGGGTCTAATGGGAAGGCAGAACAGAACACCAACTCTTATTGTCATATGGTCTGTGCTATTGGCCTCTATCTTCTCCTTGGTTTGGGTCAGAGTTGACCCTTTTGTGTTGAAAACTAAGGGGCCTGATGTCATGCAATGTGGTATCAGTTGCTGAATCTACATCTTCTCAAGACTCATTTATGTTGTTTCTTTACAGAGATGAATAATGGTAGAGCGAAAAGTTTTGTGAAACAGAAAAATGTTGCAACTTGTCCTTTTCTTTTCTATTTTGCTTTTTCATTGAATGGAGGAAATGGAGGGCAGTGTACTTAATTTTGTAAGTAGAAACAGAAGTGTTACATGGGATTTTTCTGGATTCAAATGATATATATCAAAACTTCAAATGCTACATACAGTTTATTGGAGTGACTGAAATCTAAAGAAGATACCAAATCTTGCACCATCTTGAAGCAATCTATTACAAAAGCTTAAGCACATGAATGATTTTCTTATTATACTTTTAACATGTCATAACCAACTATTGTAAAAGTTTAAGTATAATGATTTTATGATTTTTTTTTTTCCTTCAAATATAGGTCAAATTTAGTTTTTATACTTCAAATTTAAAAATGGTTTTTTTTAATCCTTTAATTTGAAAATAACCCACTTTTGATGTCCATTTTGTGACTTTTTAGTCCCTCTTAATAATAAAAAAAATAGTTTATTTAAGAAATAAAAAAAATCACTTTTAATATTGAGAGAAAATAAAAATTTTAATCCAAATTTGAAAAACTAAAAAACATTTAAGTCATGATTTAATATTATATTTTTAACGTACCTCCCCAATCCCCATTCAAGTCCCGTTTGCGTTTAAAGCATAGACAATGCACAAACAAACCATACTTGGGCTGAAAATTAAACTTTATGTACATAAAAAAAATATTTATTAAAAGAAATGGATTAAATATAGTAGAACTTTCAAAGTGGAATATCCTTATCTATATGTTTGGATTTTTTAACCATCGCTAGTACAATTATAACAATTAGAGATTCACAAGCGAAAATGAAGTTCAAGCCAATTTGTGTGGTTGCACATGCTACAAGGTCCTTTTTGTTAGTTACGAAGTCATTTTCTAAAAGATGATTATTCACTTTTTGCATCTATTTTTGTCAATAAATACTTGATTAATTGAAAAGTAATTTTACCTTTATATATTTTATATAGCAAAAGATAAAATAATTAATTTTGTGTATGATATTTGATTTTCAATACATAAAGGTAAGGGTGAAAACGATAAGAAATCACCCCCTGCATCTTCCAGAATTCATATGCCAATTAATTGCCTAGTATAGGAGGAGCTTTATGAATCAATTTTAAGACTTGTTGCATCTGAGATTAGCAAAAATATCAGCAACCTCGTAAATATAAAACAGTATAAGTTTTTAGATACTTTGTATGCAGATATTCTAAAATTTAATTTTATCCTAATTTATTCTTAAATTTTATTTTTTAAATAAATATTATAAAGTTTAATTTTACTCTGATTGATCTTTAAATTTTGACTTATTTATAAATAAACGCCTTAAATTTTAATTTCAAACTATTTAATGATTAAAATTTATCCTTTTATAAATAGTTCTTTCTAAAGTTAAGAATTTAATTTCTATATACAGTGGAGATAAAAAAAAATTATTTTATATTATATACTAGCAACCTATCAATATGTTATAGTATACATTATGTACTAACCGTACTTCGCACTCGGGCTCCGAGCCCGGATTAGCGATACAAAGCCACCCCGGGCACACACTGAGCGGCGTCAGCCCGGTATTTGGAGCCCGGTATTTGGACAGATCACTCCCGAACCCGGGATCACGTCCCAGGCCAAAACCGTTCTCCAATTATACCATATTATGTCACAACGTGATCATATCATATCATATCTCATCATATCATATCATATCATATCATATGATATCTTATCATATCATATCTTATCTCAGGCCCAAGGCCCAAGACAACCCTAATTCACACAAAGGTATGTGCATTATTTATACGAGACTCATACTCATACAAATCCTAACTTTGGCATCGGAGTCTCTTTTGCAGGTACCTCCCCCATCTCGGAGCACCAACACACCAAGCGAAGGAGGCTCACTGATCTTACTGGACGGATCATCCCTACGGTCAAATTTCGGTAAGAACATTTGGCGCCCACCGTGGGGCCGATCAAGACCAGCTCTTATCGGCCATTCTTATGGTTTTCACTAGAAGCCATAACAGACGCGCAACAGACGACCTAGATCGCTCAACTACCATGGATAGTGATGCAGCAACATTGAGGAGGCTGATCGACCAGGTCGAACAGATGCGGAAACAACACGCCGCCGACCTACAAAGCATGCGTGCCAAGCACGAAACTGATCTAGCAGCAACGCGCACCGCTAATGAAGCCGACCTAGCGGCACTACGCGCCGAGAACGAGCGCATTCACACCCAACTCCCTCGGCGTCCCTCAGATCAACCCCCTCCGCAGAGTAACCTGAATAAGGACGAAGGGCACTCGGTTTCACAACCGCCAACAGCGGCTAGGGCACCGACTCCCAAGCCTCCCACACATCAGTCTCACGCGCTGACGAACAGGTCGACGCACGACGTCAGCAACGCCCCTGCCCACAGCACGGGGAATCAGACGACCTTCTGCCGCCATCCTTTCGTGGACGGTATCATGGAGACACCTCTCCCCTTTGGGCGGAACCCTTTCCACCTCGATCGCTACGACGACACAACCGACTCGGACGAGCATATCAATCTATACACCACCCAGGTAAACCTCTATACTAATTAGGATGCTATATTGTGCAGGATTTTTCCAACCTCGCTCAAGGGAGCTGCACTCAACTGGTATACCCAGCTACCCGCCGAGTCAATTGACAGCTTCGGCACCCTGGTCAGACGGTTCATAGCGCAGTATGCGACAAGTCGGCCTCATCACATAACGTCAGTTGCTGTGGCCAGCCTCAGACAGAGCGATGACGAACCACTACGAACGTTCATGCAACGCTTTGTTAGCATCTCGGTGAAAATTTGAAATTTGAATCCCGAGGTCGCCCTACACACCATACTCATGGCACTCAAGCCCGGACCGTTTGTCGACAACCTATGTCGCGAAGCTCCTCGCGACATGGACGAGCTACGCGCCCGTGCTGCTGGATACATCCAGATGGGAGAACACTCCGCCTTCCGTGACCAGGATCGCGGAAAACCACAAGGAAAGCAAGACCAAGGTCAGGCCACAAACATTTAAACATGCAAATCCGAGGTCGAATACGAACCCCGGTATCCTTAATAAAGGTCGAGAACGAACCTTAAACACGCAAATCCGATGTCGAATACGAACCCCGGTATCCTTAATAAAGGTCGAGAACGAACCTTAACACAATCGTCCACGTCAACCCGGAGTCGAGTACGAACCCTGGTACCCTCGCTAAAGGTCGAGTTCGAACCTCAATTTCACCATCCACGTAAATCCGAGGTCGAATACGAACCCCGGTATCCTTAATAAAGGTCGAGAACGAACCTTAACACAATCGTCCACGTCAACCCGGAGTCGAGTACGAACCCCGGTACCCTCGCTAAAGGTCGAGTTCGAACCTCAATTTCACCATCCACGTAAATCCGAGGTCGAATACGAACCCCAGTATCCCCAGTAAAGGTCGAGAACGAACCTTAATCATCCGAGGTCGAATACGAACCCCGGTACTCTCACTAAAGGTCGAATACGAATCTTAATCAAATCATTCACGTAAACCCGAGGTCGAGCACGAACCCCGATACTCTTACTCAAAGGTCGAATTCGAACCTTAATCAAATCATTCACATAAACCCCGAGGTCGGGTACGAACCCCGGTACTCCCGTTAAAGGTCGAATACGAATCTTAATCAAATCATTCACGTAAACCCGAGGTCGAGCACGAACCCCGGTACTATCCTTAAAGGTCGAATACGAATCTTAATCAAAACATTCAAGTAAACCCGAGGTCGAGCACGAACCCCGGTACTATCCTTAAAGGTCGAATACGAATCTTAATCAAAACATTCAAGTAAACCCGAGGTCGAGCACGAACCTCAAACACATAAATCCGAGGTCGAGTACGAACCTCAATATTCTCACCTAAGGACAAGTCTGGACCTTCGTCCATCTCAATTTGAGGTCAGGTACGAACCTCAACATTCTCACTTAAAGGTCGAATTCGAACCTTCATTAGCCAGTTTATCACAAATTCGAGGTCGAATGCGAACTTCGACATCCCCACAAGATCGACTTCGAAACTTAATCAAACCGCTTCGCTCATCACTTTGCTAAACCGTCTAACCCATAATCCGAGGTCAAGTCTGAACCTCGTTGAAATTGTAAGGTCGAGCACGAACCTTAAATACTCTTATCCGAGGTAGAGTCCGAACCTCGTTGAAATTATAAGGTCGAGCACGAACCTTAAATATTCTTACCCGAGGTCGGGAATGAACCTCGTTAAAATTCCAAGGTCGAGTTCGAACCTTATTACGCCAAGGTCGAGTCCGAACCTTGAGACTATATTTTCTTAACCAAGGTCAAACACGAACCGTGTTACGCCAAGGTCGAGTCCGAACCTTGAGACTATACTTTCTTAATCAAGGTCGAGTTCGAACCTTGATATGCCAAGGTCAAGTCAGAACCTTGAGACTATATTTTCTTAACCAAGGTTCAAGTTCGAACCTTAGTTCAAACGTTCCATTCGAATTTGAGGTCGGATACGAACCTCGATACTTTCACCTAAGGTCGAATTCGAACCTTAGTTCAATCGTTTCACTCGAAGTTGAGGTCGGATATGAACCTCAGTATCTCATCCGAGGTCTAATCCGAACCTCGTTGAAAGTTCAGCCATCTTTAGTTTGAAGTCGAATATGAACCTCAATACTCTCATCCGAGGTCGAATCCGAACCTCGTTAAAATCCATCTAACATTAGTTTGAGGTCAAATACGAACCTCAATACTCTAATCCGAGGTCGAATCTGAACCTCGTTAAAGTTCAGACAAAGATCAAACAGAGAAACCAGACATCAAATAGAAAAAGCCACAGGCCACACCACTCACATCAGTAGCTGGAGCGACCTGCTCAGCAACTTGGGGCTCCACCTCAGTATCTCACCCGAGGTCGAATCCAAACCTCGTTAAAAGTTCATCCAACTTCAGTTTGAGGTCGAATACGAACCTCGAAACTCTCACCCAAGGTCGAATTCGAACCTTAGTTCAATCGTTCCACTCAAAGTTGAGGTCGAATACGAACCTCGATACTCTCACCTAAGGTCGAATTCGAACCTTAGTTCAATCGTTTCACTCGAAGTTGAGGTCGGATACGAAC